TTATTAACTAATTTATAACTTCATTGTGTGCCAGATGGCCCAGATGTTTCATTGTGAATGGACACTGGAAAAATGGAGATGCCTGTTTGAGTAAACTGCATTATCAGGGGTGAAAGGATATTCTCTCAACTATGGTCTCTAATGACCTGTTGTACATTTGAATCAGAGTTCCAGCATCTGCTGTATTTTCTTGTTAGTTGCATTGGTGTCCTGCCTCTCTGGTTTTAAAGCCATTGCAATTGGGAAATTTGTAGTGAGCATCATTGTTCACCAGTGAAGACACATTTCACATTTACTGGTGATGCTGACCGACAATCAGCTATCAGGTCTCCTGACAATGGAAAATTGCTTGAAGCAAATTTTAATTCTCGTTACTTCAGAATGTACAGACCAACAGCAAAGAGGTTAAAAACAACAAAACCTCAATTATTCAGACGTAACACGCATCACCAGGTCTCCTTTTTACCTGTTGCTTACTGCTGTCTAACTCTCAGTGGAATAAATTAACTGATATTGTGTTGTGTGTTTATTGCTGGATCAAATCAATTTATGTTCATGGATAATAGTTGGAACAGTGGCATTTAGAGAATGTAATTGGAGACAAGATTATATCACAAATGTACTTTACTTCTTGTCCAAAGCTGTTTGTGTTCACAAACAGTAAGACCCTTTATCATTGACTGGTTACTCACGGGATACAGTTTGACACATTCTCTTGCCCTTGGTATTACACCCTCTTATTAAACCAGTGAAAAAGATTGATGCTTGGAAACCTTTAACTCTTATTCAAAGATTTGTTGTGATAGGTGCAATGGGATCTGTGTTCACCTGTTGCTTACTGTTTTAGAAAGAACCTATAGGGTTTAGAATGCAATTTATTTAATTTCATTTGAGGAGCTCCAATCAGAATTTAAACGGGAAATGCTGGAAATACTAAACACCCCAGGCCTCGTGTGGTGTGAAGAGGTGAGTTAACACTTTAGACATGGATTGCTCATCAATACTGAAACATGAAGGATATAGACAGATTGGGCCTGGACCGTGCTGACTAACAAAGTGTCTTTAATTGAAATGACAATGGGCTGTCCTGTTTCGTACCCAATCCCCCTCCATTCTACAATCCATTGCTTTGTGTGAATGCTTTACAGTCACTGTTTACATTTGCTCTGGAGGAACAGCATTAACTCGCACACCAAGAAGCTGAATTTTTTTCCCAGCCATTTTTGTAAGATGGAGATGATGAGATATCTCTTCCTTCAGCAGGCAGTGAATCTTTGAGATTCTCTAGCCCAGAGGGCAGTGTGCACTCAGTTGCTGATTAGGGATGAGGGTGGTTGAATTGTTTGGGCACACAAGGATCTGGAGGTAGAGTGGGAAAGTGGAGTTGATATGAAAGATAGTCACAATCTTAGTGAATGGTGTGGAGCAGGCACAAGGAACTGAATGGTCTACTCTTGCTCATATTTATTGTCTACACCACCTTGCTTTCTCTAGTTGCAGCAATCACTGGTGAAATTTCCAATGTTATTAAAGAGCCATTGGCTTATTTCCTCAGGTGGACCACCTGGGCTGTCTCCAAGATTCTAATGTTTGCTTGGCGTCTGTTGCCATTTTACTTAACCCAACCTGTGTCCCAGCAACACAAAGCAACAAGTATAGCTTAATGTAGATCTAAGTTTGTGCCATCCGGGATTGTACCAACTCATAAAGACTTGGCAACAGCTGCCATTACTGCCACAGAATTCCTGACCCCCCAGAGCGTGTCAGTGGGATTGCAGTCCCAGTTGTGGAATCTCAAACCTATCATGTCAGGGGTTGCTAAACCAGGTCATGACCCCAATGACATGTACGTGTGGGGTCACAAATTCTGTGGAAGTAATGGCAGCTGTTGAGTGAAGACTCCGATTTGACAGTCCTGGGATATTTATTTTTAGAATTATTCTCCATCCACCTGTTCACATGCTGTGAAGCACCTCAGTGGCAGATGGGATTGAGCCCAGATCTTTGGCCCAGAAGAAGAGATCCTGCCATTGCACCACAAGAGTCCAAGGCCATTTTCAATGAGTGTAACCTTAAAACTTTTTTCCCTGTGAGTGTGGCCGAGTCCCGTGAGATCGGAGACTCCATCGCTGATGTCAAAGGTAAGTGTCTTGTTGCTTATCGCAGATCACAGCTCACAGAATCCCTACAGTCTGGAAACAGGCCCTTCGGCCCAACAAGTCCACACTGACCCTCAGATTGTGGTTAGTTATTTGAATCCCTACCCCACTCAACAACCTTTCCAATTGCCTCCTGTTTTACACTCTGCGATTACAGCAAATGTGAAGCATTACAATGGGGTCACACAGAAGGAAGGTTTGGGAAATACTGAGAGGAATAACAGCATGATGTTGACATTGCATCGGAACTGAGAGACTAGCAAGATCTATAACACATGTCTAGAGCAGCTAACATTGCTGAAATTGTACCAGGAGTTTCAGAATGTAGGAGAGAGTGACATAGATTTTTTTAGGCAGGGATCTCTTCTTAATATGTTTGCAATTTGACCAGAGCTCAGAAAATCTTCCTCCATTTGGATGTTTATTTTTAAGAGTCAAATGCATCATGTCTTCAAATCAAAAGTTTTACATCTGGTAGGGCTGTCCAATTGAAGCAGTGAACTATCAGTGCAGCTCAAGTGATTTGAATAAGTGACTTGTGTAGAAGGAATTCACAAGTAATGATTCAAATTGTTTTTACGCGAATGCAAATTTCAATGCAATTAAGTAAAAGCTGATGAAAATAAAAAAACGTAAGGCTGGATTTTCAAAGAACCAACGGTCAAGATTCAGCCCTGGATGTGATATGAGCATCCCACTGATTTCAGTTTTGAGTTTTTGCAGGGTCATATACAGGCTGGAAATGGAAAACTCACTCAGCACCAATTAACAGCCACTTAAACTGCTCGAACAGCAGTTTTAATGGGGTCTGTCCATTCCCGGTCGAAATTTTTATATTTAAACTCAACATGATTGTATATTATTGTGTATGTTGGTGATTGGATGCTGCGTTCACCACAGGGTCAAAGTAGTTTGTTTTTATTTGTTTCAAAGGCTGGCCAACGTTGAACCTTTTGCTTGTCTATGATTGGTTTCTGTTATGTTTGTCCTCCTTGCTGTCAGAGGAGCTGCCTCTTCTTAGCAGATAGACCCCAATATGGCTGCCATCTGTCTGCGTTGCTAGCATTGCGTCAGGCAGCCCCTGGCTCCTGAAGGTGCCAGGCACCTCTTGGGGCGCTAGTGTTTTAAAATTGTGTCATAAATAAATGGAGGTGACACATGAATTGGAGACCCAGAATTGAACCAGGGTTTTGGCTCCTTGGAACCAGTGCAATAAATGTTACTTAACTTGCGCTCCGTTATCTTGTTCATACATCCTGCTTGCTATGTTGAATGTGGTGAAATTTGTAAGAGCCGTATGAACTGAATTGTGAAATGTTGATCCTGACATGTTTAATTTGTGGACATGCAATGTAGCTGACAGCACGCGCAAATCATGTCCTGCTGCTTTATCTGTTTGACAAATTAAAATCATCTCACCCAACATAGTATTAAGTTATGTCTATCAGATGCATCGATTTGGTTTGGTTGCTTGGTAATTAGACAGAACTGAGACGCAATGGGAGGAACACATGTATTATGTGGGTGGAAAAGAAACGAATCTTTGTCTTTTCTCAGAGAGCTGTGACAGCCCACAGTGAGACCATAATTTGTATAAGACAGTCTTTGAGATTAAAGACTGTGTCCATTTCATTTCCTGTTGGAAACTGTTACTAAACAGTAGCAGATCCAAAAATAATGAACAGCTTTAAAGAAATCCGGAGCACATTTGCTTAGCGAAATCTTTTCTTTTTCAAGAAGTTTTTTTACTATAAATATGAGTACTATCTACAGGGCGAGTCATGCTTGGAATGGTTGAGGCTAAACATGGAAGAAAGTGGCCATTGTCAACAATTAGCAGTCTTCTGGGGTATAAATTGTTGTGATTGTTTGTTTGAAATTTGGCATTCTTGCATTTGTCCTGAAGAACGCAAAACAAAAGATATGCCAACATGTCTTTTGTTAGCCATGTACAAGGCACATTACTTCATTTCATGATTACAAGACTGTGTAACAGTTGACACAACAGAATGGAATTCTTGTTAAAGTATTTAAGCTTTTTCAGATTTGTTTAAAAAATCCTTGTAAGAGGCCATTTACTTTTTGGTTAGCATAGCTACTAAAACATTTCAACTTTCAAAGCATCGGCCTCCAATGTATTTCCAAAAGTGAAAATAAATTGAGGATAGCATTGGCCTAGCATGCATGACTTAGTTGGAAATATGTATGGTTTAAACCCAATCCATTATTTCCTTTCCTGCATAGGCGCGTGAGTTAGAATAAAACCATAATACGAATATTTAAACTATGCTAATAGACATTATTGGACCTCATTTCTTTGAACCTTCCAGCAAAGAGATTTATTTTGTTAATACAAAGCTACATTTTTTCATGCTATTGCTTGATATTTCTGATGCCTTGTATGTTTTGAATATGGAAAGGTTTATTATTTAACTGGGAACTGGCTTTATTTAAGCAGGATTTGTATAGAGATTGCAAAATGGAAACGAGTGGTTAAGATGCATCAGCATGTTTTGGTATTTATCTGCTGCACAAAATATAATTGGAATGCCATACTCCTAAGGCCCTGATATAAATTGATCTCTGGAGTATTTTTGGTACTCCGCTACACTTTTACTATTCAATGACAGGCCAAACAGCATCAGAGGAGCAGGAAAGCTGACATGTCGGGTCCAGACCCGAAACGTCAGCCTTCCTGCTCCTCTGATGCTGCTTGGCCTCTGTGTGCATCCAGCTCTACACCTTGTTATCTCAGATTCTCCAGCATCGGCAATTCCTACTATCTCTACTATTCAATGATCTTCTGTTGAATTCACAGGAATATGTTTTGACTCCCTGCAGGTGTGACAGGATCAGGAGGCAGTGAATGCTCGTGTGGCAGAAATCATTTCACTTGTGCGGTGAGTGCCTTTGGTGAATGCACCTGCATACCTGCCCAATGGCAATGTGACGGGGACAATGACTGTGGTGACCATAGTGATGAAGATGGCTGCAGTAAGTAACCTATTCAATTACCGAAAACTAATCCGAGTTCTTCTCTCAGTTCAGTCAGTCGTGGTGCTGGGCGAACTTGCTGCTATGGTCAGGTTATTGTAGTTTTTGATTCTCTCTCTCCTTCTTTAAAATATCCCTTTCTCTCTGTCTCTCTGAAGCTTCTATTGTTATTTTTGCAATTTTTTATTTGCCATTTTCCTGTGAGTTTTGACTACAGTACTGTATGTATAAGAATGACTTTGTCCTTTTGGAATCTAAATTTGCTAATTGCAGCACCAAGATACGGGCCTCATTGATGGTCAACGGCCCTACCTAACAACAGAGAAAACAGACGGTTTGCTAGCTGTCTGTGATTATGTCTGTAATGTGACAAAGCCACATATCATTTGGGGCTCTAAATTACAGAGCACCAATGTCCAGGTACACAACTTTAAAAAAAAGACAGACTGACATGTCCAATAAAGATCAGGGAACTCCTTGAATGGCAAGAAATATATGGCCCCAAGATTAGCAAAAGTCACCTCAAAAACTGAATAGATTAGCAAGTTGATCAAAACGGCATGAGATAGAAAATTGAGTTTTAGCAATTTTAGGCCAAAGAGCTCCATTGTGAAGACTACAACAGCGGCACAACAAAAACCTTAGGGAACGGTGAAGAAGAGCCTGAATTAGCTGAAGGTGCTGAACACAATCATAAGAAATTCCACAATGCTAAGGCAACAACTGGGGAGAGGTAAAAGTCTCAAAGGCTGCTGGTGGAGATGAAGATTAGTGTGAACACAGATGTTTTCAGTGGCTGAGTGTGCGCCAGTCTCTCGGAATGAGGATGATGCTCACTCACGGCAAGAACCTGCAAGTGGGGTCTTTTTTTTTGTGTATTGTGGAGGTTGAAATGCTGTAGCTATCCCCACGGTTGACCAGGAAGCTCTCATGCTCTTACCACCTGCCATCGGTATTGGAAGGATTTACAAATGAATAGTCAGTGAGTTCTGGCCATGTTCTGATGCACCTTCTATTGCCATTCGGATGGGACTTGAAGCCAGAGGGTCTGACCCTGAGCTAAGGGTGCAATGACTGCACCACATGAGCCCTCCTCTTCTCAATGATTATTCCTTAAAAACTAGAAACATTGGTCGTGTTCTCCATTAAAGGAGATGACTGAGGTTTGCACAGATACATGAGGTGAAGAACATTCTTAAAGGGTTCAAAACAATTAAATTCCAAAGGTTCAATGATTTCTACTCCAGGTCATTAAGGATGGTTTTGGATGAAGTGGGAGACTCTAACACTGATTTGTGTTTGGTTCTGGTCACTGAATCGGTGAGCCAGTTAACCCTCCAGCTGCTTGGTGCCTGAGCAGTGATGTGGGATAAAGGCTGAGGAAGTATACTATTTTACCTGAGAAGAGAAGTTCCCTGAGGAATGCCTTTTGAGATAAGTCAGATATTGAACAATAGAGAAAAGACATTTGTAGAAATTATTTCATGTCAGTCTATGTGAGTAGGCCAAAGGTTCAGAGTTTCTAATCAAACAGAGTTTGGCACATGTATTTTCATAAGTTTTTGAAATAATACAAATTTTATGTGCATCTTCACTCTTCTGAATATTAATATGTGCTCTGAGTTACTTCAAATGACTCATCTGAGACTGTGAATTCGAAAGCAGTTATCACATTCTCGCATTTCCAGATGCACCAATGTGTTGTATTTATCAAACAAGAGAAATAACCTTTAAACATGTAATAGAACAGATTTCTGTCTGCACTGTCCCATTTTCTCCTCCCACACTCAAAGGTACTTTCGAGTTGCAAGACAGTTTTGACATCCACCATCAATCCCCTCATACCTCAGCCAAGTGACACTTGTTCATGTCAATACTTGGGTTTGAACAGAAAGAGTGGGGATATTGAAGACAAAATTGATCCTCTTGTTTCAGATTAATGACTGGCTATTTATCAGATTTTGAAAAGATTCAGTTTTGTCATTTTGTCATATTCACATGAATCTGCAGATTTTCTTTAACAACATACCAGCAGTCTATTACACAAAAGAAGAAATTAAAAAAAAACACAAACCAAGCTATCTAAAAATAGAAGAGAATTAGAATAATCTTAAACCGCACAGCAAAACAAAGCTTCAAATGTTTCCCAACACTGTCCATCACAAAGAATCAAGTCCAGAGAAATTACATTCCTATCTCAACTCTTTATGTTTCTACTTCACAAAATCCTTACCATTTCTTTGTTGTGGAATGTGGAACCAATTTGATGAGACCTTTCCAAGTTGACTGACATTATCTTCACTGAGAGCCTAAATTTACTCGGTTCTAATAATCTGCAGATTTTTAATCACATTTTGGAAATTTCCTTGGGAACATCTCTTTGACTGGCCCAGGTTCACGTTAACCTTATGAGAGGTGGGGGCATTTCAGTCTTTCTCCTCAATTGCTGGTCTGCCTGCTTGTTGGGCACCCATTCAAGTTGGCTTGTGGCCTCCTGTTGGACATCAACTCCCTGATGGTCAAAACTTCAAATTTGCCATTAGCCACAGGGTTTCAGCAAGACAACGTTAGGCTTGGGTATAAAAGTGCTGGAGGAACACAACTGGTCATGTAGTGTCTGAGGAGAGAGAAACAGAGTTAACATTTTTAGACCGGTGTGACTTTTTGGAATATTGCACTGCCACAGTTCTCTCTTCTCATCTTTATAAGTCCACTATTTGATGTCTGTAGAAGAAAGTAGACTTAGTTTTTGGGGCTAAAGGGATAAAGGGGTGTGGGAAGAAAGTGAGGACAGAACACTGAGTTGGATGATTAACCATGAGTGTATTGAATAGCAAGCAGGCTTGAGGGCTAAATGGACTGCTCCTGCCTCTATTTCTAAAATCTGCACTCAGTTATCTGTGCTCATCTGTAGCATTTACTCATTTAGGAGTGAATTATACTTTAAAGGTAGAACCCTTAGGAACATTAACATACAGATGGATCTGGGCTTGCAGGTCCACAGTTCCCTAAAAGTGGTAACACAGGTGGCCAAGGTGATTAAGAAGGTGTAGCTTGCCTGCATTGGCCGGGGCATAGAGTACAAGAGTTAGCAAAACATGTTGCAGCTATATAAAATCCTTGTTAAGCTGCACTTGGAGTATGGTGTGCAGTTTTGATTGCCACATTACCAGAAAGCTTTGGAGGCTTTGGAGGTACATGGAAGCTTTGGAGAGAGTGCAGAGAAGGTTCACCAGGATGTTGCCTGGTCTCCAGGGCATTGTCTATGAGGAAAGATGAAAAAGACTAGGATTGTTTTCACTGGAAAGACGGCGCCTGAGAGGAGACCTGATAGAGCTCTACAAAATTATGAGAGGCATAGATAGGGTGGATAGTCAGAGGCTCTTTCCTAGGGTTGAAGTTTTAGTTACAAGTGGGCACAGGTTCAGGGTGAGAAGGCAATAGTTTAGGGGAGATGTGTGAGGGAAGTTTTCACGCAGAGAGTGGTAGGAGCCTGGAACGCACTGCCAGAGGAGGTGGTGGAAGCAGGCATGTTGGTGACATTTAAGAGGCATCTGGATGGTTACATGAATAGGAAGGGAATAGAGGATACAGACCGAATAAGGGCAGAACGTTTGATTTTTAGTTTAATCAGGCCATGATGATCAGCACAGGCTTGGAGGGCCAAGGGGCCTGTTCTTGTGTTGTACTTCTCTTTTGTTCTTTTGTCCTTTTGTTCTTTTCCATGCAGGAATGAACACTGATGTGCTTCAGCCTCCTCCTATGCAGGGAGATTATAGTGAAAATCCATTAGGAAAATTTTTAATAATGTAGAATGCCGTCTTTGGATTCAAGGCTGTTTTTAACATTGTGCTAAATAATTTAATGTGTAAGCTGACCTAATTCCAAGTTACGCCTGTAAATCTTGACAGCAAGTCATGTCAGGTCATCTCAATAGAATTGAATCAAAATGAAGTTGATAATTTGATGGTCTTGGCAGATGTATCAAGTGCTTTATGATAAATTCATGGTCTGAATTTTGCAGGAAGATGCTATCAATTAATTAAAACAAATGGTCTCAAAACTCAGTATGTTTGTTTTTTATGAAACTGTAAAAGGAAATGTCTCTGTGTAAGTAATCCATTATCAGACAGTTGCTTCTGCCATTCCAGTACAAATAGCAATAGTGACTGAAACGCATTTTAACAGAGCCAAACATTGCAGTGGCTAAAAGGCTTATTTCACCCTTGCCTTCTTGCCCTTGTCCTTTGTGAGAGTGGTGCTTGTAGATATTTCTAATCAGGAATGTTATGACACACCTCTGGAGCAGGTGGGGCTTGATCCCAGGCCTCCTGGTTCAGAGGTAGGAATACTGTCACTGTGCCTCAAGAGCCCCCACAGTGCTGATATTATGTTTAATAATCAACCTGTTCAGAGATGTAATGACAGGGAGCAGGTGGGACTTGAACCCAGGTCTCTCAGTTCAGGGCAGGGACACCACCACTGTACCACATGAGGGCCCTCAGTAGTGCTTGTAAATTTTTAAATACCTATTTTCCCTAATCAACTGTTCAGAGATGTTATTATACACCTCTGGAGCATGTGGGAGGCTTGAACCCAGGTCTCTTGGTCTAGGGGTACCAATGCTCCATTATTGGCCCCCAGCAGTGCTTGTCTTTTTTTAAATTTAACCTGTTTTCTCATCAACCTGTTCAGAGATGTTATTGCATGTCTCTGGAGCAGGTGGCATTTGAACCCAGGCTTCCTATCTCCAGTCCAGGAGTAGCAACACTGCCTCTGTGCCTAAGACAGTGAAATTTGGTATGGACTGGTATTTTTCATTCTGAACATATTTTGAGAGACTAAACAGATCTCTGCAGAGACAACTCAAACACAGGCTGTGAAGATGTGGTTTAATTTTCACCTCCTTATCGTACAAGGTGCTATTGCCCACAAATGATCTAGAAGGGATTCCCCCCAGAGAAGTGAAATCAATCCTCTGCAGTGCACCTTCAGGCATA